TGGGATGAGATGCAGAGAAAAATGCAAGAGCAGTGGGATGAAGTCCGGAAGGAGATCACAGATGTCAGGAAAGACCCCGCCCGCGGCCCCCGAGCCGCTCCGGAACCCGGAGCCCCGACTCCGCGGCGCGCTGGGAGCCGCCTTCCGGGGAGCCATGCCGGTGATGACCCGGGACGTGCTGCTCGAAATGGAGCCGGAGGAGGATGAAGACGAGGACGGCGACATCGGTGAGCCCACGCGGGGGGCAGCCGGGGACCCGCTGCAGCTCCGAGGGCCGCGGGCGCCTTCCGCGCGGTGTCCCGGTTCCGCGGCTCGCGGGGCGTCCCCTTCGCCGGCGGGGCGGGGGCCCGGGACCCCGCAAAGTGGAAGCAGCGCGCGGCCCGGGGGCCTGGGGCGGGGCCCGGGGCCTGATGTGCGGGGCTCTGTGCGCGGCCGCCGAGCCCGCAGGGGCCGCAGTCGCCGGGGCGGGGCGCGCCCCGGGCGTTTCGTGCTCGGGCGAGCCCCACGTCTTGGGGAGCACGCCCGGGGCGCCCCGCTTCTCGCTGGGGCTAGAATGCTTGGCATCTGTAGGTGGAACCAAGGGAGAGCTGCGCGCGGGGAACCGAGGACGGGCGGGGGGCGTGCGGGGGTGGGGGTCCTCTTCCACCGGGGGAGGCAGGGCCCCGCCGGGAGCCTGCGGGAGGAGGCCGGCCGCTGGGTCCCTCCAGGCTGGCGGTCAGATCCCCGCTCCGGTCCGCTCTGCCGGCTCCGCGTGGGGTCCTGGACGCCGAGTCAGTTTAAGACTTAGCCGTTCTTCTCGTATCCCGAAGCCCTCGTTTCTTCTCTAGTAACTTTAGAAGTAGCTTGATTTTCGGAATGGGGTGTGGTTTTTCTTCGTTTCACGTTTTAGGCCCTGCTCCGTTGTGTTCTGGGTTCTATTTTTCCAGCTCTGTTGAGCTGTAACTGACATGACAGGGTGTGAATTTAAGGGGTACCACACTTGGTTTGATGTGCTGTGTATCCCAACACGGTTATACTATCGTGTTAACAGCTCCACGCGGTCACACAATGACCTTTGTTTTTGTGGTGAGAACATTTAGGATCTACTCTTAACAGCTTTCAAGTAGTCGCCAAGATGTGCATAGATCCTCAGAACTTACTCATAACTGAAAGTTTGTACTCTGATCAACATTTCTATGTCTACACCCTCATTTTACCATTTCTGTGACTTCAGCTTTTTGAAGTTTCACAAATAAGTAAAATCATAGTGTTTGTTTTGTCTGACTCACTCACTTAGCATGATATCCTCAAGTTCCACCCACAGCTGGGTTTCCTTCCTCATGGCCGCATACGTGTGTGTGTGTGTGTGTGTGTGTGTGTGTGTACACACAGTACGTCTCTATCCATCTGTAGCTGTTCTTTCTTTATCTGGGCCACTGTAGGCACTGCTTTTTAAGCCCAGAAAACTTGGTAACTTCCTCTTTGACCAGGACCAATTAAATAGAGGGACTGTACCCCACGCTTTACCTTTCACTCCCCTATAAGCATCCATCTTTACGGAGGGAGCAAATAATATTCTTTTTATAAGAGAGAAAAACCCAAGCTCACAGGTGGACCTCCCTTGCTTCTCACACCGCTGGCTAAGACTCAAACCCAGGTTCTGGGATGAGGAAGACCTGTGCGGATCGAGGCACTTAACCACCTGGCCACTGTGGCTGTCAGACGATGCACAATGTTCCTATTTAGTAGGCTTAAGTAGTAAATCATGATCATATAAAATATGAACCATAGCAAACTTTAAATAGTTATAATACAATGTAATACAGTCTTATGAGCACAATAGTTTGTTATGGTGAGGGGCATTGATAATATTGATTATTGTAAATAAGGAAATAAGCAAGAGATTCTGAGCTCTACTATGTCATCAATAGATCTCAGTTTAGAAAGAAAACCAGCTTGGTCTAGTCTGTGTTGACCTGAAGAGGATCATAAAATGTGTGGCAATAGACTCTCATTTCTGCTTACAGGTGTGACTTATGCTGCTCCTATTAACTCAAGCAGCGTAGATGTATTTAAGAAAGCACGGACTGTCTTGACCCCTCCTTCATTCCACCCACTGTAAGCTACTGATATTAATACTTTAGTGTGTATTTGGGGTCAGTTTGACATAGTTTATGTCAGGCAACAAGTATCGTTTAAATCGGTCTCAGCAATTTTTGGTTGTTCTACAGAGATATAATGTGGACCGTGGTGATTTTAAGAGAAAATGTTTACCACGCAAGGCAGGTTTGTCACTGCAAAATAATAAGCCTTTATCAGAAGGCTGATGGTATACAACCTTTTATGAAATAATGTACGATTTCCCACTACAGGAGTGGAGACGGGTGAAAGATCATAATTTTCACCTCTGCCTCTAGTTTTATAATGCAGGGCCTTGTTAAAGCTGTTGAGGGACATATTTCTCTTAAGCCTTGATTGTCACTGCTAATAGTTGTATAATTTAAAACGCACTCAGGTACTGAACATTTCCATGAAATCCCCCTACAAATATATTAACTTTATAATTCAGAGCAGGAAAGTTATTTTGACATAAGTTCCTGGGGAAAACATCTGTCATCAGCTAATTTGCAAGAGACAAAAAGAAAAACTTTTTAAACTAATTGTGGTGCCTGGTTTTGTCATGGAGATGTTTTACATACAGACGTGGATGATGTGCCCTTTAATAGCCTGGGATTTAGGGCCTTTCTAATAGTGGGTTTCTGATTAACTTTGAAGGTGTGTTTAGTGATTTAAGAGTAAGGATCGCCTCCTTGTTTGGAATGAACTGATCTAGAGAATCAAAGATGGTCAGTCTCAGCATGGGCTTTTTTTCTGTATTTGCTTAACTCACGGCCACCAGAAATTGTGCTCAAAAGTCTGCAGATGAGGCAAGCTGTTGGCATGAGGGCAGTTTTTCAAAAGGCCACTTACTTTCTAAACCAGCTCCAGCAACTGCCAGCAGATGCTCTGTGGGGGCAGGAGCGGTGGCAGCCCTCACCACGCTGGTGCTGGCGGAGGCCCCGTGTGGAGGCGGGTCTGTGGCCTAGGCTGCGCCAGGGGGTCCCGGGCTGCCTGCCTGCAGGAACACATACGCCTCCCCCAACCCTCCAGTAAGTGAGAGAGTGGAGGAGGCGGGGGACCGTGTCCCAGCATCGAAGACCGGGCAGGTCTGGAGGACCGAAGGAGGGTCTGGAGCTCCGGATGGTTGCCCGGGGTGGAGAGGGGCGGTCACAGCCAGGAAGACAGAGAGGGGCTGGCTAGGGGGGCTGCACCGTGAGGAAGGCACCCTGTGTGAATGGATGCTGGACGCCACCCTCTGTGGTTTGGAGCTCCCGGAATACTTTAGGGAAAGGCGGGTAGGACCATGGTTGCTCCTGGAGACATCTCCCTGGCAGCATGTTGGCGAAGGGGTTGGCGAGGGGGGCATAGTCGAGGTAAACCTTCCTCTCGGTCGGGTTCAGAGCCGCCTGCAGGCTGTGGGAATAGAAGTGGGTCTGCGAGCTCAGGAAAGGGGCAGCATCTGCGAGACCTCAGACCAGCTGCTTCCAGCAGGCAGAGAGGAACCCGGGAGGACTTGAGCTAAGGGATCAGGTGGGGAGTGGAGGTGGGGATCAGGTGCGCAGAGGGGAGAAGTTTCCATTGTTCTAATAAGCCTTCCACTTTCCCCTCTGTTTTGGCCCAGACCACCCCTCTTCCCAGTAATACCAGACTCACCTCTTCATTTCCGTGGCCCCCTCTTCTGTGTCCCTGGTGCCTGGAATGGAGTTCACACTTTGAGATTTCCTCAGTCGTACGTTATAAAAATGTTGATTATCCATGCTCTGCCAGGCACTTGCTAGGTTCCAGGGTCCCTGACCTCCTGTACCTCACTATCTAGGAAGGAGGCAGACATGTGAGTAGATGATTGCAGTTATCTGTGATGAAGGCTGTAAGCAAGATGTGTACCAGGCCAGTCATGGTACCAAGGAGAAAGTGTGTAACCTTGCCTAGGAGAACCCAGGGTGGCTTCTCAGAGGCAGTGCCTGGCCAGCTCCAGAAAGGGTGAGAAGGAGGATGAGGGAATGGGGCCAGGACAGCAGGATTTCCTGCGCATCCCTGAATGGGGCAGGATTTCTCAATAAACAAACCTTGATGCCCCCTTTGTCTTACTCTCGATGGCAAGGGGATGATGCGGTGTTCGCGTGTTCGAGTTCCCTACCCAGGATGACAGCTGAAATACAAAGCGAACTACACTCAGTCTTTCTCTTCACGCGTAGTCAGTGTTGCACTTTTTCCTAAATCTTTTGTTGTTTTCGGTTTCAAATTCATAGTTACAGTTTATCTTCTATGTTCTCACAAGCCAAATGATTGCTATCCGATGGTTGTGTGGCCTCCTCTTAAAATTTTCACTCTTCTCTGATCAGACACAAACACAACAAGAGTAAAGGCCCTGCGCACACCGCGTTCCCTTTTCTAGTGGTTGCGGTAGTCACATATGTTGATTGCTGTGCATGTTTTTTCCCTTTAGAAACCAAGAAATTTAGACCAAAAGTCCTGTGAAGTTTTCTGTCAGAGATACCATGTAAATTCTGTCATTCTTGAGGGGAGATTATTATACATTATTAAGAACCCCACAGTCCAGATTTCAGTTAAAGGATTGCCTTGAACAACAAAGTGGTATTTGTAGCAGGTTAGATTAAACTGAATCTATTTTAAGGAAAGTTTCCACTCTCCAAATGAGTTTGTCTTATTCTGTTATCATACTTATCAGTTTGTGTTTTGTATTGTAACCAATTCAATACCTCTTAACAAAAAGCTTATATAAATCTTGGATGGAGAAGCACAATCTCATTTGCCTTTGTATGCCACCACAGCCTGTAATATCATAATGCTTTCCCTATAGTAGATACTCAACAAACATTTGTTAAAGGACTTCTAGATGGTAATGAAAGCTTTGTATGCCATAAGATTTAATAAGCCACTTAATCTGCTTTTGATACAATGCATTCAGGGCTGAGTCTGTAAAAATCACTAGTTTTAGAACAGAAAAACATAATTTCCGATTACCTTCAAGGACATGTAGTTTTTGACGGATGGGTTAACTTACATGTAAAGACAGAGACTCGGAGAAGTTAATACAGTCAAGCTATTGTCTCAAGTCATTCTCGTTATGATTCTTTCTTTTCCTTTAGTTTTGTCTTGCTCTTTAATACTGCTACTAAAATTAATT